GGGGGAGAGGGGGAGGTGAGGGGGAGAAGAGAAGGAAGGGGAGAATGGAGGAAGTGTTGGCGGGGAGCGGCTGTGATGGGGGGAAGCGCGGGATGGTGGCCCCCGGAGGTGGGACGGCGTGTATGAGTACGTAGGATTGAGTACAGGTTTGAATATTTATTTCTACGTGTGTGCGGGGGGGGATTATATATACAAAGTACTACATCACACATATCATGTTATATATCATGATATATCATGATATATAATGGCATATAGCATTACATATATCACTATATACATGAGGGTGAGGAGAGAAAAGAAAAGTAACGCGAATGGAGTAGGGGGGATGTAGGCTGGCCGGCTTGTAGGGTACGTGTGCGGGAAGGTGGGAAGTCCAGGGAGGGAGGAAGGCGGGAGGTGGGAGAAGGGCGGGAGGGTGTTTAAGGTATAGATCCAGGGATAGAGAGCTGCGCCCTGGCGGGGGAGGGGGGAAGAAAGCAGGGCAAGGGTCAGGTGGCGGGAGCGGGGAAGACGGGTTATGTGCCGTCGCGGTGTGTTTGGGGTGTTGGGTTTTGTGGGAGATGTGGGAGATGTGGGTTAGAGCGGGTTGGGCGCGTTGTCGACGGGGAGGGCCAGGGAGGGTGAGGGAAGGAGAGAAGGGAAGCGGGGGAGATGAGGGGGAGGAGGGAAATGCGAAACCCAATGGAATGGGCTAGGGGGTTGCCAAGAAGGGCGGTTGGATACTTGATAGTAGGAAGGTTAACGCGTTTAGGGGCCGGGGATGGAGGTAAGAGAGGTATGGGGTACAACGAAATTGAAAGGGGAGCCCTAACCCTTGTACGACGACGGCGGCCGGCCTCAGTTCGTCCGGCGGCGATGCCAAGAATACCTGGGTTGTCGCCAGAGTTAAGTAAGTCGCCATCAAAGCCCTCTGTTTTTGAACAGTACATCGGGGAAAGGGCGAGGAAACATAATTCGGGTTGACCAATGGGTAAGACAGGGAGCAGCTGCGTCCGATGGCTAACAACTCCTTGCAATTATCGTACGGGAATGCTCAGCTTACCGGCCAGTTCAGAATCGTTGCTAATAACCATGAAGGTATGGTCAGCAACGCCACAGGCACGAGAACAAGAATTCCTTTGATGAAACCCACGAACGCTAACAAGACGCTTTGCAGCAGCGCTCCCACGCAGACCAGGGGAAGGATGCAGCATGAGACGCTGCTGAAAGACAAGCGATTACGAACTGGGCGTTCCATGTTGCCCTCAACGCGATTGGGTGCACGTGCCGTTCACTGTCGCCGTTTGACGTCGCGTCAAGCCCCGCAAGCGGGGTTTAGCATAAACTAACGCAATTATACAAGGCGGGCGTGAAAAAAATTGAAAAACAGGCATACGAGCTTTGCAATTAAGTGCACTTACAGTAACAGAACGTTTGGTAGCTCCCCTAATAGTCATAAAAACTGTAATGTGACTAATATTCCAACTGATTTGCCCAGGAAGCAATCGTGTTCCAAGATGAGGGTGCCTGGGTGCAAGGCAAGCAACGTCCGCTCCGGAACATTGTACGTTCATCCACAGAACGGGCCCGAAGGCCTCTCCTCCCTGCACCCCAGTTTTTGCATGCAATTGCCGTTGTCACGTTGATCGTTAGTATGTCAATTCTATCCCAATCCGCGCGCTGCCTTGCTGCGTCGTTCCGTCGTTCGCGCAACCCGTCGCTTCGCTGCATGGTAAATTAAAGCAGCCACACATGCTGATGGCTTTAAGTTCCCTATCATCATTTTGCAACGGTGGATGGTAAATCAGAGGTTCCCTCGTAATGTATATGCATTTCGTTATGAACGGAACTGCCGACCCCATTGAACTTATGTGCCGTCTTTCTATGCAATTTCAAATATCCAAGCAAACATTCTGGCATGATCGCAACAATTGCCCTGGTCCACGCCTTGGGCACAGGCGTCTGCGGCTGCACCACCCCCTCCTAAATACTTCCTACTCGAGTACAAGTGAGTTCTTGCGGCCCTTACTTCCTCCACCTTGGAGATGATCGAATGCCTTCGTGACGAGCTGCTGGGGACACAAGGACGGGGCTGAAAGGGCAAGCCAAGGGATGCATGGACCTTCAGACCAGCATGGAACAAACAAAGACTCCAACGTGGCTACCTCTCCAGCACGGCAGTCCACGGAATTGCACGCACTCTGGATCAATAAAACACAAACCCAGATGCCCATTCTAGCCTGACTCCCTCCCCCATGCTTGGGGCGTTTGGATAGGGCGCCCCGCCATCAGCCAATTTTCCGCTGCATAATCCTGCCCTTTAGCGGACGCCGTTACGGAGAGCTGATGTTACGTTGTGTGTGCTTTCTTTTGTACTCCACAGCCGGACAAAAGAACCATGAAGTTGTATCTCTGAAGTGTGAGCACCTTTGCATTTAGTCCAGAGTGCCATGCTTGGCTATCTGTGAGGCTGCAACAGTGAGAATGGGCTACCTAACGGCTCCTCGCGTGGCGTGTAGATCTTCGTTGTGTTTTGTCGTACCTTTTCCCCCACACGTTTTACAGGTACGTCCCGGATATCCTAGAGAAGCGGGCGCCATTCCGGTCTGCTCACATTGACGGTGCGAAAAAGCAGGCAAGTGGAGCGCCATCATCAGCCATCCGGGGGAGGTGAACGTTTGCTACGTGCAAGCACTGCGCTTCTCCTCTGCTTGCTCCGCACGAGCTGCGGAGCTGGGAGAGACACTGGGCTATATGTCCTGTTTAGGCCATGAAGGCAGATTAGGCGCGATAAGCATATTTTTTGGACGCCCAAGGGATGGCCGTCTTTAGGTTTCCTACGTTGCACATGCCAGTCCCAGCCCCACACGCGGTCCTTGCCTGGAACATCTACCGCGTGGTGTGTATGGTCTGGAACATGTGTACATTATGCTTGCAGCGTTGCTTTCCGCTTTGTGCGTGTATGTGTGTGTGTGTGCGTGAGCGCGTGTATGCATGTGTTCTCGTCACGCGCATTTGGGTATCCGCTTTCAATGTGGGTGTGGGGTCAGGCCTGAGAGATAGAGAGAGAGGAGAGGCGCGGCAGTTTGTTGAGGCGCACATGTGAAGCATTGCAGCGCTTCTGCTCTTGGGTTTGAGTGGATGTCTTATTACGTCGCCCGCGCACGCTCCCGGCGGGCGGGCGGGCGCTGCAATCGCAGGCCGAAGCTGGGAAGATGGTCTTGGCTGGTGCCTTCGGGGAGACGCCGGAAGGTGCTCTCTTCGTGTTCAAGGACGTGACCCGGGAGGTGCGACACCGCAGAGGGAGTACGCAGCAGTACAACTGCGTTGGTTGGAAGTTTTGGTTGTGAAGTAGGATGGGTCAATTTGGGTGGGGAGGGTCTTGCCCGGGGCGGTATCTTGACCGGCGGCACGTGGACCTAATGATCCGCTACTACGACTTGCTGTTGTCAGTAGCGGCGCCAGAAGCAATGGTGAGGCACGCGCGATTGCTGTTGCTATTGCTGCTGCTTAGCTGTTCGCGAGGAGCTTCGTTAAATGTTCGTTGCGCCTGCTGGCTTGTTTGCTTTGCCCCGTTGTGCAGGAGATAGAGCAGTTTGTGCAGGCGGACCCCTACGTGCAGAATGGGCTTGTACCCTCCTGGTGCGTAACTGTACTGCTGTTTATGGGCAGTAAGGATATAGGAATTATGAGAGGAGGGTGAGTCCTAATGTCTCAACAGCGTCCTTGTCGCTGCTTCCACCATGCAGGCAGGTCAAGCCATATGCCGTGGTTGTTGGTCCCAACTGACGAGGGAAGGACGTCCTTCACCAAGCTGCCATAAATGAATCAGATTTTGTAACCTAATGTAATCCATGGTGATCCCTTGAATGCTGACCTTAATCTTCACATGGGGAATTTCACGGTTTTTTCCTGCGCGTCGTATAGAGTACGATGTCAAGCTCTGAGCTCTAGATTTCCAAACCAAAGCGAAACAAGACACCCCTCGGTAGATAGGCCTTATCGAATGTTGTTTTCAGCAGCTGGAGCATATCACAACTCTGAGCTTCTAACGTTTGGAGCGTATACCTTGTGTGACTGGATAAAAGAATGCATACAACATATAACATTAAGCTTCTAAGATATCGCTGAGTATGAAATAGGCGATAAATTTGGTATGGCATCTTGCTTCTTGTGCTTTAGGGGCCAGGGCAGCGATCGTCGCGAGCAGGAAAATGCGACGCCTGTCCCTGTGCCAAAGGCTGCTGCGGCATACCCGGTGGAGTCGGCCGCAGCGAGTCAGCCAGCTCGGTTATTACAACACTCCGCTTCCAAAGTGCAAACCCCAGCTCTGCTACAAGCTCAAGCACAAGTTCCACCTGTTGTAAGTATCGCTCCATGCTGGAAACCTGCATATGCCATTGTCAAGGCGTGGAATCGCGCTTCACACTGCATTACACTGGTTGGCCAACCAGGATGCATCGTCCCTACAGTTGCGTATGGATTATTTATCAGAGAGCGCCTGCATGGTACAGCTCCTTGCCGTCGCTTTTGGCATACTTGTCTGTAGGGCATGGTTCATCCTATATTTCCTGACCGCTGGGCTGTGACACACATTACCTTTCAACAGCTCCAATTCTCCTGACAGTCTTTCTTTTCTTCCTCTGGGCTTTTGCTTGGTTTGAAGGTGCTCCAACTTCAACGGCAGCTTGCCGCTCTGCAAGGAACGTGGATTAGCCGGGTAGACATGGCACTAAAATACACTATGGAATGCACTGGAGCAACTGCCGTCAGGTGGGCTTCCTGCTGGGCGTGCTGGGGGGCGACTGAAGAAATTCCTGCTCACGCACCTGTGGGGCGGGAAATGGGGATACAGAGACTCGCGCCGCATCGGGGAACATAGCTATCCATCCGCCCCCGGCATCCATTCTCATCGCAGGGCAGATGCGTGGGATGCCCACGCGCCACGTGTACAGCGAACTGCTACCAACTTGCCTTTACCTCACATAGAATAACCCGGCCCCCTCACCTTTTCCACCCGCACAGGCCAACCCACATGCCCCTGGCCGCCCCTTGCCTCCCTCTTCCCTCATTCGCAACCTCACCCAAGGCCACTCACTCCGCTGCCGCTGTTGACCCCTAGCACAGGGCCCCCAGCCTCCCAACACCCCCCTTACACCTTTTCGCCCTAAAACATCCCGTTCCCATGGCGCAACTCCTCCATACCTCTGCAGCCTGTCGATGCTGTCGCAAACGCATGACTGTCTGGTAGTGCTGGCCCGCCGCGGACCCCAGCACTTGGTGCTGCCGCCCGGAAGCTGCATCGCCATTACGGAGCCCGGCGAAACTGCGCAGTCGCTGGACAATCCAGAACAGCATTCCCTGCAGCACCTGTATGCCTCCTCGGTGCGTTAGGCTGCACTTCCGAGGGGAGGGGAAGGGAAGGGAGTTATGTTTAAAAGTAGGGAATTACAGGGAGACAAAACAGGAAGGAAACTGTCGCTTGGGTAACTTCCGAAAGAAGCCACATCTTGAACAAGACATCCAAATTAGGAAACGTGCCGGAAGGGGGAGGGACAGGGGGACTACCTCCCTTGGGTCAGAGCTTGCTCCTTGGCGGCGCATGACAAAACATAGGCGGTGGGAACGTATAGTAGCTGGTCGCTGAAAAGGCCTCTCGAGATGCTGGTGGACGCGCTTAGCGCGTATTTGCAGTTGTTCACGGTGCCGTACAGTTTACCGGCTACTACAGAAAGGGACCGGAAAAGTTTTGGATTGTAAGGGAAGAGCGGAGTCTTCTGGGCCGCCTATGCATGGCCCTCCACTGATGGGAGCCAGACGCATCTGTTGGGGAAATTCGGGTGAGGGGCGCCCGGTGAGGGCCCTCACCGGTCGTGATAGATGGTAGATATAGTGGGATGTGCCAAAGAGCCAGATCAGGCAACCCCGTTGCGTGCAGCGAACTGTCGGGGCTACATATAGGGGGAGGTTCTATTCCAGCGTCGTGCATTGATTTCCCGGAATAACTCATGGGGCTGCACACGCCAGGAGTTTTTGTTTGATGGGAAAGAGATCCTCCAATAAATTTTCGGCCGGTGTTCTATCCCTATGTCCTCCTCAGGCCGCCGTGGTTCGCTGCGTGCCGCTTCTTCGGCCGCTCACAAACGCCCTCCCCTCAACCACGAGCGCTGCGGCGGTCTCTGCCGCAGCCCTCGCCGGTACCGGCGGAGGAGGGGGCGAGTCGCTACCCCTAGATTGGGCCCACCTGCACAACACTGCCGGCATCACCCACTTTGCCGCCCTGCCACTGTACCACGGCACCACTCTCGCCGGCGCACTCACGATCCTCGGCTCGAACTCTCAGCTGCCGGTGGACGCGGCTGCGATGGCGGTGCAGCAGCAGCAACAACAAGTACCGTCGCAGGGGGCCGTCTCCGGCTCCGTCAACGGCGGCGGCGGCGCACCCATTAGCCCAATGGGCATTACGGCTTACCTGACGGCGGTGGGCAGCAACGGCGGCGGCGCTGGCACCGGCGCGCAGATCTCCCCCCTGGACTCGTTATTTCGCGCGCCGCTGTCCCTGGAACTGGTGGCGATGGCCGTAGCGCAGTGCTGCCTGGGCGCGGACATGGCCCTGGCGCGTCACGCGGTGGAGATGGTGCAGGCGATGCACGCCTGTGCGTCAATACAGCAGCTTGTAGCGGGGATATCGCTGGGGTTACAGGTGGGCGATGAAAAGGGGGAGGAAAGGAAGGGGGACGGCAAGGCAAGGCAAGGGGAGCTGTGTCTGCGTGTCGTGTTTGGCGCCTTGACGCGTGGGTTTGCGGCGTGGTGATTCGGAAGAGGGTTTTGAATGGGGCTCTGCGTTGCTTGCAAATGGGAACCAGTACGTCTGGCGAGGATGTTGGAACGTATGTGGGCTCACCGCAACTCAGTTGTCCCCTTTGGGCGCTAGCTTGGGCTGATAGTGCGGTGTTTCCTTTTCTCCGTGGCTTTTAGGCGTTGAAATATTGCCCTTGGGCCTTCGGCTCGTATGGGTAGTTTTACAGTTATGAGGTCACGCAACCCCAACCATGTAACACACACACACACAAATGGGGGGAAAGGTTTGGGGGTACTAGTGGACAGCCAGGGATGCAATGCAGGGCTTACTTTGGTGCGGGGTCGGGCGGATCTGGTCGCCATTTCATCGTGGGGCCCAGGTCGCGGATGGTTAACGTCGCTGGGTAGAAGGCAGTCAGGGGTGGCGGCCGTGGCTAGGGACAATATCTCGATCTGGACCAAGACAAGCTTGTAGAGGATGTGGTGGTAGGTAGGTAGGTAGGTAGGTAGGAGGAGGCGGTGGCGGATTTGAGAGGGGGGGAGAGCTGGTGGTATGTAGTTTATTGTGACGGCGTGTTGTATCTGTGGGGAGGCGTGCGCGTGTTTGCGTGCGCACGTGTCTCCCCGTAAGGCGCGTGGTCGACGAAGCGCCGGGCGGGGATCATGTTACGCATGGGTGGGGACGGGGACTTGAACGGGGGCCGTGCGCCTGTGCATCGGGATAGGTCCCACGCGCGGGGTTGGACCCGGGGAGCTGAGTATGGCGTTGTTTGGAATATGTGTGCCCGAAAAGCTCATGGAGGTGCCGGGACACGCTGGCTGTGTGCTGGAATGACCCTAGGTGGTGTGGAGAGAGAGAGGCGGTGTGTGGCAGGGGGGGGGCCCTTCAGCTTCGAACTGCTCGCGCAGGCGCTTCTTCCTCCTCCGTCTTTTCCTTCCTTCTCTGCTCCTTTTTCTGGGCCGCTCCTCGACCCCTCGTTTCCTGTGTTCGTGTCCCTTCGTGTCCCTCTCCGGCCCTCTCTCCTCACACTTACGCCGCATCCTGGCGGGAGGGACCCCCTCACGCATCTCACCGTCCTTGGTGTGACGCGGTGTGCCCCGCTCACGTAACGCGACAGGCCCTCATGCACGCACGCTTCTGCCTCACGCTGCGCTGCAACGTGGCGCTAGCTGTCGAGTTCCAGCCCAACGCCATAATGTTCGAAGAGATGACTGGAGCGCAGCAGCCCAGCGGCTCCGGCAGCCAGAACAACAACTGGGCAGCCTACGATGTCAACCCCTCGGGCCAGGCGAGCCGTGTGCCCCACATCACCGGGCGGCCCTCAGCCGCCTTTAGCTCCCCCGCGCACGGCCCCGACGGCAGCAGTCGACGGGAGCTGGCGAACCGAATGGCGTCGGGGGGTTGCCAGCCTGCCGCCGGAGGCGGCGGTGGCGATGGCGGCGGCAGCACCGCCACCGTCGCCACTGCCACTGGCGGCGGTGCCGCCACCGGCGGCGCGACCACCACCACCACCGGCGCGACGACCACCGGCCGGGGTCCGTTTACGACGATGCGTAGCGGCGTGGATACGACTGGCGATCCGATGTGGGGAGCGTCGAGTGGGCATGTGACGGCGTCGGTGTTGTTGAACCAGATCGTGGGGCGACGGTACAAGGTGCGTGTGTGGAGGGGAGTGTGTGTGTGTGTGTGTGTGTGTGTGTGTGTGTGTGTGGAGGGGAGTGTGGAGGGGAGTGTATGTGTGTGTGGAGTGTGGAGGGGAGTGTGTGTGTGTGTGTGTGTGGAGGGGAGTGTGGAGGGGAGTGTGGAGGGGAGTGTGTGTGTGTGTGTGTGTGGAGAGGAGTGTGGAGGCAACTGTGGAGGGGGGCGTGTGCCAGGCGCCATAGCCCTGGGAAGGACTGTCGTAGGGGGCGCCGTCTTATTAAGGCCGCCCAGTAGGCGGTGATCGGTTTGGGTGCGCTACCGACCATTGACAGCGTCGTGTTATCGGGGTACCTTATAACCGCCTGATGACGGCGGGGGGATTGTGTGGGATGGCAGCGGCCCCGTCTTGTGTGGGTTGGGTACCTTTTCGCCAACAAACCATCCCCCACACGTGCACAATGCAACACGCGCACACAGCCAGAGAGAGATCGAGAGATAAATATATAGATAGATCTACATCTAGGCAGACAGACAGACAGGCAGGGCTGCAGATAGGTAGACAGACAGACGGATAACCCCCATTTTCTGGTCTAAGAATATTGACAGTCGCTGTGCCTTGCGCCGTGTGCTGCTGCTTTCCTCTTTACGCTGTGGGCAGGCTCGGCCGTTCTCGGTGTACCATACCCTACTGATCCGTACAATTCACGAGCTGGCTGCCTCGTCGTACGGTGGTACGGTCATCACCCAGTGCCATGACCACATGCAGGTGAGAGGCCCCGGACACGTACGCGCCTGACTCAGCCACCACCCCGCGCTGTGCTCGTCGTAGTGCTGGTCTTAATCTGATTAGTCCACTAATCCTCCAGGACCGCCTCCGTGCTTGTGTGTATGTATGTATGTGTGTGAAGGTTACAAGTATCTGATCGGGCCTGACGACACTGGCCAGGGGCTACTGCCCAGCCCCAACGGGAAGACCGCCTAAGAGCTCTCTCCCGCGGACGGGCGTGTGTGTGTATGTGTGTGTGTGTGTTCGCGGGTGTTGTCCACCTGCGCCAAACGCCGGTGTGCGGTGTGCCGCCTTCAGTAACTGACGCGGTACCTTTGCACAGACGTGTGCACGTGTAAGAAGTTATAGCTGCGCACGTGTTGAATAAACGCACAATCCCGTCCGCATCCGCATTCCATCGTTGCGGGTTGCGGTTACACCCAAGCACCGCCTGACGTGCGCGCCTGCTTTCAGACGCCTGCTTTTAGAAATGCAAGAACTGTCCGCCGCTACGGAACTGTCCGCTACTCCGCACACGGCCTCTTGCACGCGACTTTGCCGTCATCGTCGCCTCCCTGCTTCGCCGTTGCTGCCAACACCCCCACCCTCTCTCGCGCGCGTGTGCTCCCTACAGGACGCCAAGACCCCCTCCCGCGACATCTACGCGCTCGGCCGCGGCGTGGGCCAGCCTCCCCAGTCCTTGGTCCTCTCAGTGACGCACCTGCGCCCGGCAGACGAAGCTCTTCCCGACGGCGTGCTGCACCTCGCCAGCAGCAGCGATCCACGCGCTGGGTCAACCTTGTCGGGCCGTGCCGGCGCGCTGAGCCACCGCAGCAACGGCCCGCCGCCGCCAGGCGGCGGCGGCGGCGCCGCCGCCGCCGTCAGCTCCAGCGACGCTCCCGCGACGCCGCCGGAGAATCCGTCCTCCTCCGCTGGTGCCGCGTCAATGTCGGCACATCGAATGCTGACGGCGGCGCCGGCGGCGGCGGACTGGCCAACGGTGGCGGAACCTCGGACGTACATTGGCTTGTACCTTAGCTCTACGGAGCCGTTGCCGGCGGCGCTACTGGAGCTCATCCTCGTCGAGATACACTCGCTAGCATGTCATGTGTTGTCTCCGCTGGTGTATAGGAAGCTGTTGGCTGGGGAGTTGGCGGTGGAATGGTCGCTTATGCAGACGGTCACGACATCGAGCCTACCGCAAGGGGGGGCCGACAGCGCACCTATGCCGGGCCGGACGCCGCGGCCGACCGTGCCGTCGCCGTCGGGGGCGGCGGTGCTGGGGACGCCGGGCGCGGTGCTGGCGATGGGGCAGGTGGCAGCGGCAGCAGCAGCCGGGCGCGGCGGCGCCAGTCTAGACATGGGTTCGATGGCGGCGGCTGCAGCGGCAGCAACGGCGGCGGCGTCAGTGCCGGCATCGGCGGGGTCGACGGCGGCGATGAATCCCGACGGCGGCGACACCACGCCGTTGCCCCCGGGTACGGCAAGAGTCTCCATCGCCGCCGGCGTTGGCGGCAGCGCAGTGGTGCCGCCTTCCGCCCCTAACTCCCGTCTTTCCTCCCTGCAACGTATCATGGCGCCGTTCCTCATGGCGGATATGGGCGCCGCGTCGGATGGCGGCGGAGCCGTCACCGGCGGCGGAGCCGCCGGTACCGGCGCCGGCAGGCGCAGCAGCGACGTCGCTTTTGCGTTCAGTAGCGCTAACGCGGGTTCGGCGCAAGCGAATGGCGGCGCTCGCAGCCTCAGCCCAGGCAATACGGCCCCCATAACCGCCGCCGCCGTCGGCATCCGCCGTATCCTTGCCTTTGACCCCCAGGCCGGCAAGAGCGCCCTTGCGAAACACGGTCGACCGTCCATGAGCGCCAGCGAAGGCGTGGCGCGCGACATGATGCTGGCGGCGGCGGCGTGCGGGGGCCCGGGGGGCGGTGGCGGCGGCGGCGGGCAGGTTCCCGGCAGCGACAAGTTCCTGTCGACGGAGGTGGCTACAGTGCAGGACACGCACTCGCAGATGGGTTTGCTCGTCACGTCGTACAAGGAGACGTTGCACAACATGCACATGGAGCTCAGTGTGGGGGGTTTGCATCGGTAAGGTCGGGGAGGCGTGTGTGCGTGTGCGTGTATGTGTGTTTTGTGTTTCAGTAAAGGAGCGTGGAATCACGCGTACGTGGAATGAATGTGTATGCATGTACGTATGTTTGTT